ATGCCAGGGCTGCTTTAGGAGACAAACACAATGAACTTTGGTACAGTATAGTGTAGAGGCCAAAATGAGTAATTTTAAGTCAATTGACTATGAGATCCAAAGCTTCATTAAGTTTTAAAATGAAAAACCAGTTTAAACTGTGTACGGTTTGAAGGAACTGATTAAAAAAACATGAACGTTCTTCCTCCATTTGAAGTGGTATATTCATAAAAGTCTTGTCTTGTTGACTCAAAATCTGACACTATGCTTGTTCACCAGAGGATTTACTTATTTGAAAATGGGTCGGCAAGGATTCTATTATTTAAAAATTCAGCCTTTACACCATTGATAATCTACTCTTTATACCCTTTATCTTTGAAATGGCCTTATTTCCATGGACTGGAATGAAGGGAGGAATTTTAGGTTATTTTATTTATTTATTTATTTATTTATTTTGTTAGAAATGCAGAGCTTGAAATTTAGCAGGATTGAGGGGAGCAGAGTGAAATCATGTTAGGTGTCTTGTGCTGAGACCCCATGAAAGGGTGAAGATGAAATAGGCCATGGAGACCAGGAGGATGGAGAGAAAGGAGCTAAAAGAACAGTGTGGAGCATCCCTGTCAAGTTGCCTGTATTGCCAAGAGGGGGTTAGGTGGCCTAGCATACAAAGGCGTCTGTAGCAGGTGATATCTAGGTGAGTGTACTTGGCTGCAAAGTGTTTCACATTGGATTTATCGGGGGGTTGGGGGGGGGCGGAATGCCACCCCAGCAATGCTTGGAGGCCTGGGAGCCACTTGAATGATACTTGGCTTGGTAGTACAGGCGGGCCTGATGTTGGGTGCTGGGGCTGGCAATATTTTACTGCTCAGGTACTGGCAAAGTGGTACTGGCAGTCAACAGGGCACCATGTGGTGTCAGGATGCAGTTCAGAGCTCTGCGTGCAAGGCATGTATTTCCAGTATTTTGAGCTACCATTGCCCTCCCAACCCCCACCAGCCATCCCTCCCTACCAGCCCTACACTTAGGGAAAAAATTTGGTTGGGGGGAGGGCATTCCCTGCAGTGCTTAGGGGTTATTACTGGCTCTGTGCTCTGGGATTATTCCGGACTGGCTCAAGAGACCATATGTAGTGATGGAGATTGAACCTCGGTTGTCTGTGTGCAAGGCAAGTGCCCTAACCACTATACTCTTGTTCCAGCCCCAAAGGATTTTTTTTTTTTAAACAACACAAAACTTTGGAATTTTGGGCCCAAATAGTTCTGGTAGGTTAAGAAAGTTTATATTAGCATTTTAGAGGTCATTCACCCTGCTAGTTCATTTTGATGGGATTCTTTCTCCTCTTTCTTCCCCTCTTTTCACCTCTCTGTCCTGGAGTTTAGACCCAGCACTTAACACCTACTAGGCAGGCATTCAGCCACAGAGCTACATCCTTGGCCCTTTGCTTTTTCATTTTGTATCGAAGATTTACATTGGGGCCAGACCCCTTCTGGCAGAGGAGTTAAGAAAAAGAGAAGTTCATTATGTCAGGAATAGCATTTCTTCCATCTCACTCCACAAAGATCAAAGCAGCCCAGTAAGAGAGTCTGTCCTATGAAGGGTGGTTTTTAACCTGACATGGATGAACCTGGCAAAGTTTTCCCAAGTGAATAGCAGATAGCATGGGTTATCTTTAAGGGAATGCATACATAGATAAGACATAAAGAATCCATATCCCACAAATTTTCATACATGCATATTCACCTGTTTATATAGTCTACCTCTTAGAAGAACTCCCCTCATGAGTTCAGGAGACTCAAGGAGAGAAAAAGCTTGCAGAAAGTGAGTATCAAGCAGCCTTCGTAGGAAGCTGGCTGGGATGTGGTTTGTTGGCATCCAGAATGCTGTTTATGGTTGTGGTCATTAATCTTGTAACAGAAGGCATTATGGAGAAGAAGTCGCGCCAGTGAAGAGCAGCTCATAAGATGAAGGGACAGGAGGGACTATATGAAGGCAGACTGAAATAATTATAACTCCTTAGGCTTGAAGAGCCTGAGAGGAAATATGATTAGAGTTTAATAAATCCAGGAGGAGTATGGATTAGGCGATCATAGGCTTGTTTACCAGAATAGGCAGAACCACTTTAAAGACAATTTAAAGTGAATTCAGGACAGAAAAGAAATGCTGTTGTATTGAGAAAGTAGATCCTATACATGAAAACCACTCTTGGAACTGGGCTAACTTTGGCTTTGAAGAGAAGTGGAAAAGCCAAAGATTTTTCTTATTTTGGCATTATTTTCTGGAAGCACAGAGGGACCCAGAGAGCGCATAGATCAGGTTTTCTTTTGGCTTTTTATTTTTCCTTGTGTTAGGTGAACTTTAAAATGTCATTCATTCTCCATTCGGCAGTTACTCACCAAAGGTGGGTTCTGTGCCAGTTGCTCAGTACTGAGGACACTGAGATGAAGATAGCCAGATACGGGTCTCACAGTCTGGTCACTGTTAAGAAGCTGTAATTGCCAGCGTGGTCAATTCACAGTTAGGTTGTGAAAGCTTGACACAAATTGCTAGCATGGTCTCATGATCAGAGCAGGCGGCCCTGAGGAAGGGGTGCTCAATTTGAGACCTAAAAACTGGCGAGGATTTAGCCAGGCTGGAAGTTGGGGGGAGAGAGGATGCTTAGTGCCTTGAGGTGTGAGAGGGTTCTTATGGACAGAGGAGGGAGGGGGAGATGAGGAGGAAGAGGGGTCCGGGGTAGGGGTGGAAGGCCTGTGGTTTGTGGAAGGGGTCATGGAGGGCCTGGTAGACCATGAAGAGTGTTTGTACCCCAAGAGCGGTGGGAAATTGACTAATGGGAACTGAGCAAATTTTGGCATTGACATGAACAATCAGAAAGGCTGCCCCACGCAGAGCAGAGAGGGCAGGAGTTAATGTACTGGATCCTGTGGAAGGGTGTCCATGGGCCCTCGGGGATGGTGGCCTGCCTGCAGAAAGCTAAACAGGTTTCGAGCTACTTCAGAGGTCATCAGGACTGAACTTATTGACTAATTTAATCTGAGAAGTGAGGGAAGAGAAATAATCAAACTTGATTTATGAGAGTTGCACAGCCAGTGAGTGTGAAGAAGGAGCCCAGTATCTTCTCTAGGATCTCTAAGATGACTAGAAGTCCTTGGGTCTGTCTGCCTTCCACTCCCTCTTTCTTTCTCTCTCCAATTGTTCAGTACTGTTTCAGGATCTGTAAATTGGCCCAAATCGCTTCCTATAGTAAATGGATGGCATGTAGGAAGATCAAAGAAGGCATGGGAGATTTTCAGTTTCTCCAGTGCCTTTGTCTTTTGGGGAACTTAGGATCTTGCATATACTCTGTAACAGAGTGTAGTACCTGAGGTCAGTTCCAGAAACTGAATTAGAAGCATTAAGAGGGCTGTGATAGATACCGAATGCCAGTGATTTTTTTTTTTTAGTATTTTTATTTTGAGGCAACAAAGAAGTTATCAGACTGGTGTAGGCAATCTTCCTACAGGCTCTTTACTCAGCTTCACCAGTCAGTAGCATTTTGCTGTTTATTTTATGACATTTTTTACCATATAGAAAATGAGGCCGAGAGATTGGGATGTTTCCTCACCAGCTAATTGCAGGTATCAAGACCCTTTACCTCTACTTTAAGTATGTGTTCTCTCAGGACAACTATTTTTTTTTCCATGAGAGAAAGTTCAGGAAGTGCAGCTGTCTGAGATGCTAGGACCGATCCCAGTTTCCAACTATCACGTTGACACCGCAGTGTGGTCTAAGCCCTCCTTCCCCTGCTGACTCAGGCTCTCGTGTGGGAGACCGTGCCATGTTCTCCGTTCCTTTCATCTTCTCCAACCTGGAGAACCTCTCGTGTGGGAGACCGTCGTGTTCTCCGTTCCTTTCATCTTCTCCAACCTGGATCCGCTCCCCAGGCTTTCTCTGATGTTTGGACATTGAGATTTCAGAGAACAGGCCAGCTGTCATGCAGACTGCTGCTTTTTGTGGGGACGTCGGGAGTGTTTGTCTGAAGAGGCAGGTTGTGTATTTGGGGGGCAGGAGAACAGCCATGAAGTTACACTCTGCCTGGGGCAGCCAGCTGGGAGTCGTGGTACCCAAGTGGAGACAGACCTCAGCACTGTTGCGTTGCACGTGGTAAAATGAGGAACCCACTGAAGGAAATACTGTGCCACAGCAAGACAGATGAAGTGTTTGCTTTCCCACGGATGTGAATCATGCTTTACTGTACTGTATAGTCTGTTAAGTACACAGTTGATCTATGTCTGAGAAAAGGTGTCTAGCCTCGTGAAGAGTGACCCACAGGTCTCAAGTGAGCATGTGCTATGTGAAGACACCAACAGAGTCGCTCAGGGCTGGGTTGCCATAACCTTTAGTTCATTAAAAAACAAACAAAAAAACCCAACCAAACAGAAACACACACACAGACACACACACACACACACACACACACACACACAATATCTGGGGCTGGATCCGCATGCCTTACATGAGGCCCATCCCTGGCATATAGTCCTCCAAGAACTGCCAGGAGTAAGTCTTGAGTACTGCTAGTTGTGGCCCCAAAGCAAAACCAAACGCAACCCCAAAATTCAGTATCTTCAGAGCATAATGAAGTGAAGTGCAGTAAAATAAATACCCGCATGTCCCTTTCCTGGCGAGTGCACTGATCACTCTGTGAGTGTGACCCTTGCTATTCTTTGTCTTTTGTAGGATGTACAGGTTATTCAGTTACCTCTTAATCCTTAGGAGTTTTGTTTATTTATTTATTGAAAGCTTTAATTAAGACACAGAGTTTTACAACGATATTCATGGTTGAGTTTTAGGTATGCTGTGTTCCAGCACCAGTCCCATCGCCAGCCTCAACTTCCCTGTACCAGTATTCTCAGGTTCCCTCGCACCCATCCCACAAGCCCTCCTCCTTTAGACCAGCACATTTTTAAGTTTGGCTGTTGTGGTCCCCGAGCTTTGCATCTCTGTCTTATTTCATGGAGCTCTGTTTCCCCCTCTCTCAACAGTGTTTTAGAGCACTCTGCTGCAAGGGACCCCCGCCTGCCCGGCCAGAATATGACCTGGTCTGCATAGGCCTCACTGGCTCGGGCAAGACCAGCCTCTTGTCAAAGCTCTGCAGTGAAAGCCCGGACAACGTTGTGTCGACCACAGGTACGCACGCTCCTGGGGCCCCATCCTGAACCCTTTCTCTTATGCAAGATTTTTGCTTCCCTGATGCTATTTGGAGCCCCCACCCCATCCCCCAACCTCCCAGCTTCTGCCCCAGCTCTCCACCCTTCTCTTCTATTAGTAATGAATGCTTCATTCAGTTCCTTTCACTTGGGGCTTTTCTGTCTCTCAAAATCGATTTGGAGGTATTCAGTGGTTTTTAGTTGATGCACAACCCGCAGAGCACTGTTGGTCATTTCAGTGCCACTAAGTCAAGCTCAGGAACATCTTGACACCAAGTTATCCTGAATCCTAGAACCTTATCTAGTACTCTCATAAAATGGATTCCTCTTCTCCCACGGATGGCCCATCAAGTCCTGCTTCCTATGATCCAGAGAAGGGGTCCAAGCCATCATCCCCCCCAACCCCCTGCCCCAGGTAAATCATGCACTTCAGCCCTTAGAACACTCTCTCCAATCCCTCTTTACAGTTTTTGATAGGGCATGTATAAGGAACTTTTTCATGATAAAATAGGCTTGAATAGCACTGTCTGCTAGCTTGACCTGATTAACATTTATAAGATACTTTACCAACAACAGAAGAGGACATTCTCAAGTGCGTGTGGAACATTTACCCAGTTAGACCATATTAGAGGATATAAAGCAAGTCTCAATACATTTAGAATAATTCGAATCATGCTAAGTATATTTTCAGACCACAATGGAATTCAATTATAAATCAATAGTAGAAAGATGTCTGGGGGAGAAGAATCCCCAAACACTTGGAAACTAAATTACTACTGAGCAACCATGGATTAAAGAAGAAATGAAAAGAGAAACTATAAAGCATTTTGCATTGAATGAAATTACAGTGCATCAGAATTAGAAGGATTCCTCTAAAGTGGGACTTTAAGCAACTTTTCTAACACTAAGCCCTTGTATTAGAAAAAAGGACTTCAAATCAATGACCTCAGCTTCCACCTCAAAGAACTAAAAGTGAAGAATGTATTAAACCCACAGTAAGCAGAAGACAATAAAGATCAAAGTGGGACTCAATGAAATAGAGAAACAATAGCGAAAAATCAGTGAAACAGAAAGCAGTTTTTTTTTTTTTTTTGTGGAGATCAATAAAATTCTAGCTAGACTGATCAGGAAATATGTCAAAAAGATGTTAACATTTTCTGAAATGAGAGTAGTTATATCAATATAAATATTTGAGGCTAGTAAAATCATTTGGAACAACTTTTGCCAGTAAATCTGACAGTTTTGTTTGAAAGTTAAAACATTAAAGAATGCTCATTCAAGATGAAATAGAAAATCCTTGCAGATCTATTTCTGTTAAATAAATGGAAATTATAGCTCATAAAAAGATAATTCAAACTTTGGTATGCTTCATTGGTGAAGTCTTTTAAAAAGTTTATGGAAGAAATGATGCAGGTCATAGAGTTTTCCACATAATTGAACTGAAGGGAAATCTTCACAGCTTTCTCTCTAAGATCAATATTAAACTGTTAGCAAAACCAGACTGAAATATTACAGACTATCTACGTAACAATATCTTAGGACGCTAATATAAAAAGTAAAGTAAAAATACGACAAATCTCACAATAGTGTATTGTTAGTTGGATCCTCTATCATGGCCTAGGAATGCAGAGTTGTTTCAAAAATCAATGTAATTGAAAGTCAGTTTTTGGGGGGGCTAGAGTGATAGTACTGTAGGTGTTATCACTATAGCATTTGGCTTGCATGCAGTTGAACTGGGTTTGATCCCTGGCACTCCAGATGATCCTTCAAGCCCACCAGGAGTGATCCTTGAGCACAGAGCCAGAAGTAAGTCCTGAGCATAGTTGGGTGTGGCCCCCAAAACAAACCAACAAAGAAGTGAATTTTATAATATAAAACTAAAAAAAAAGAAAAAGAAAATTGTGATCATCCCCAGAACAAACAAAACTTCTCATTCTAACTCCCAAGAGAATCGGAACAGAGGGGAATTTCTTCAGCCATTAAAGAGTATCTATGAAAAACCTTTATAGTTACTGTCCTACTTTTTTGTGAAAGACAGAATTATTTCCCAGTGAAATCAGAATGAAGACATGGATGTCTATTCTTACCATTTCTGTTCAACATTGTTGTTAAGATCCTACCAAGTACAGCAGGCAAAAAGAAGAGGAATAACACTAAGAGACTTTAAAGTGTTAGGTAAAACTGTCATTGTCAATAATAGGGTCCTTTGTATAAAATATTTAATAGAATTTGCCACTGTAGGGTCAGAAAGATAATTCAGGGTTAAAGCATTTTCCTTGCATACTGTTCACCCAGGTTTGATTCCTTGGTACCATATAACTCAGAGCACTGCCAGGGATTACACCTGAGCACAGAGCCAGGAGTAGTCCAGAGCATGGCCAAGTATGGCCCCATGTCTACTTATGAATTAGGAAAGCTAGTTTTGGAGATCTGAAACTTGATAATTGGAGGACAGGTTTTTAAAAATTAATTATTTATTTTTTATTAAATCACCGTGACATACAAAGTTACAAAACTGTTTATGGTCGGGTTTCAGTAATACAGTGTTCCAACACCCATCCCTCCACTAGTGTGCATTTCCCACCACCAGTGTCCTCAGTTTCCCTCACGCCACCCTCCCCACAGCCTGTCTCTATGGCAGGCACTTTTCTTCTCTCTCTCTCTCTCTCTCGCTCTCGCTCTCTTTCTCTCTTGCTCTTGCTCTCTCTCTCCTTTTGGACATCATGGTTTGCAGTACAGATACTGAGAGGTTATCATGTTTGTTCCTTTCCCTATTTCAGCACCCAGTTCTTATCCAGAGTGATCATTTCCAACTCTCTTTGTCATAGCGGTCCCTTTTCTATAGCAATTAGTTTGGAGAGCGTTATCTAGTAAAATAGTGGTAGGGTGCATTAGCCAAGTATTGAATTCATTTAGATAGATGAGCAAACTCCGTGGAAATTGGCAGGTGGAAATGCATAGTGTCATATGTAAGCAGAGGTCAGAACTTCAGTTAGGAAGTTAGTGAGAAGTAGCAAGGGTGAAATAATATAAAAACATTATAAGGGGGCTGGAGAAATAGCTCAAAGGCTATTTATCTTTGACGGTACTTGCCCTGTATGCAGGAGGCTCTGGTTTGGTCCCTGGTACCACATGTTCTCCTGAGCATCACTGGGAGCAACCCCAAGTACCACTAGGAGGACCATTCCCCCTAAAAAGTCACCTGAACAAGTTATTAGAAGGGAGAAAGATTGTCTTTGGCTTACATAAGAAGGAAGGAAAAATGTGTATAAAAATGTGGGGAGAAGACTTTTCTTAACAACTCTGGGCTTTCATATGATTGAATTCAAGGTAGTTTGGACAGTGGAATGAGAGTGGCGTTGGTGTGACGTTACAAGTGTGTATTCGCAAGTGATCAGAGAAGCAAGTAGATGATGACAGGGGTGTTGGAGGATAATCAGCAAAGAAGAGCGAAGCAGAATGATATCAATGACCAGCAGATCTACAAAGCCATCAGCATATGAGATAGGCTTCAGCACATGTTCAGTTACTCCCTTGCTTTTGTTGGTAGCTATCATCTGTGTAAGAACAAAAAATATAGAAGCAAGTTTCTAAAATAGAAAGTAAAGGGTAGATAACAAGGAGGAGAAATGAGGAGGTCAGGGAATCATTTTGTGCACGGATGGGAGGTAGGTGACTCTAATCCCAAGGATCTAAGGAACATTCCGGATGGAGAGGATCTGAGTCTCAACTCTAAAAACTGAGAGTTAACTTGCAGCTCTCATTTGTAATACAAACATAAGAAGAAATTTTGCTGTTAGAAATGCTGGTTTCACATCAGAATTTATGGCTTTCCCACTTAGACCGCGCAAACCATTTCTTTATATTATTTAGAATATAATTAATAATGTTAAGCCCACAAAGGTCATTTGTTAAGAAGAGTGAATGGCAAACAAATAAATGAAAAAGACACCACTGTACCAGAAGTTCTGCTTTAGTAGAGGATAAGCAAAAAATGTTAATTTTACACTTTAGCTTACTAAAATATGCTCTGTGGTCATGGGAATGTGGAGACACTGGTGTGTACGAGCACTATTGGTGGTCTGAGATGGGTGGGCTGCTTCTTGGTAAGCAATGTTTTGTGCATGTCAAGGTTTTCAAAAATATTCACATCCCTTGATCTAGTAATGTACTCATGATATATTTTAAGCACACAGTTTTTAAGAAACTGCAAACACAAAGTGATTTGTTGCAACATTTTATATAACCAAAGCAAGTTTAAACATTGTGTATATATAGCAAGCAGTTTGTAAATTAAATGTGGTACCTCAAGTGAAATGATGATAGATTGTAAAATATATACAACCTCTTCATGAGGAAAATAAAATTTACCTTTGCTTTTAAAATTTAGCTAGGCAAAGCAGTGTTTTTAATTAAGAAATGAGAATATGTAAAAATTATTAAGCTATATTTATATGACTGATGTGCAAATGTTCATTCTTTTATTTTTCTCTAGTGCTTTGATAAAATGAAGTCAGTTAAGAGTGAAATATTGGGACTAGAGAGATAGTATAGGTATTAAGGTGCTTGAGTTACACATGGCTGCCCTCAGTTTTAACTCCAGCAATATGGATGGTCCCCCAGCACTGTCAGGAGTGGTCTGTGAACATACAACGAGGAGTAAGTAAGCCCAGAGCTTCATTGGTATGTGACCCAACAATCTCCCAAAGTAAGAAATCTTGGGGTCCAGAGAGGTAGTATGAGGGCTAAGGTAACTTGCATGCAGCTGACACTGGCTTCATCCCTGGCATCACATATGGTCCCCCAGCATCACTAGGAGTCATCCATGAGCGTAGAGCCAGGATCAAACCATGGGCAATGCTGGGTGTGCCCCAAGTATGTCCATGTAATTTCAGCAAGACAAGAATGTCTGCCCTTTTTTTCACAATGAAAGGAAATGAAAACTTTGTTAAAATATTAATTTCAACTGCCTTTTAACCC